TAGTTCATTAACGATTAGCCTTCTATGCATTAGTTATGTAGAAGATCTCTCGGCGGCTGACAGGCACAGAAATATAATAAGAAAGAAGCGCGGGGGTATATGTGAGACAGTAAAGAGAGAAGTGATGGGTAGGCAAGTCCGGAGATCCGAGGCTGGGAAACGTAGTGAGACAAAAAGATCGTTAGGGTAAGCGAAAGTGATAGTAAAGCATAGATCGTTATACATCCACCACCAATCGGCGCTGGCTGGTGGATTCGCCGTGATGCGACGACTCCTGGATCATCTCCGTCCGCACTTCAATGCCGCCAAAGGCACCGCCGGCTGCGCCGACATGGCTGGCCTCGCCGGACTTGACGTCGATGGTGTACATGTCGTAGTCGCGGTCCTGGGAGTAAAGCTCGACCTTGTGGCGATGGGACTGCGCGGTCATGCGGGTGGCGGTCATGCGGCTGACAGACACGGTGGGATTGCGCGTGTAGCGGTTGTAGCTGTTGGTGGACAGGAACTTGGGGAAGAGGCGGCTGACGATGGGGCGGAGGAAGGGCAGGCACGCGCAGATGATGGCGACGTTGCATTCTGCGGCGGTCCAGTAGGCGGCGCCGACGTTGCTCCCTGATTGATGATGATGGTTGTCAGCAAGGAAAGTGATGCCAGGTCGATAGAAGGGGACTACTCACAGGAAGTGTCACTGTTCTGGGCGACAGAACGCAACGAGGAGAGACGCAGGATACTAGTGATAACGACTCTATACAATGGGTTAGCCACAAACTCAAAACTGGATTGGTGGTTAGGAAGACACGCACAGTCCACCAATAGCGAAAACACCCATGAGCGCGAACTTCTGCGCTCGCGGAAGCTGCAGTTGCGACAAAAGCGGCATCGGCAACACCAGCAATGTCACGTCGGTGGCGATGTTCATAGAGGCGTTGAAGAACCAGACCGCTTCGAAATTGAGACAGTACCCCGAAACAGTGCGATCCCAGAATCTGGAGACCGGCACGCAGTTCAAGAAGCCGCTGACGACCGCCCACGTTCCGTAGGTAGCCACGATGCCTAGCACAACATAACAGGCCAGTCGAAAACGGCGGTCGGGGAAAATCCGCAAGTATTGGAAAAGAATGGAGAACTTGGTGAAGATCAGGCTGGCGTTGTAGAACGGGATCGCAGCCCATAGTCGCTAAGAAGCCAATCGTTAGTTATTAGTTCTGTCTGCGTGGCACGCTCAAGCGCCTTACCTTCAGCTGCTCCTTCAGAATACGATCTTGAAGCTGGGAAGAGTGCATCCCAAGTCCGAAGTGTACCTCTGGAGTATATTAGATGGGAGTCGCTCGGTGTCACAAGTTCTGAGGTCTTACCAGCACCAACCAGGCCAAGGTATGTACACGCCAGTATCTGCCAGGTGCATGTCAGTAAATGTCCGAACTCCAATCACGTCGTCCAGAGAGGCATACCAGAGATATGAGAATCATGTAATCCTCGCGACCCTTTAGTTTCATCAAACCGAGACGCGCATACATCCGCATAGCGACAATAACAACCGAAAAGCCGGTGAGCACGGCTGTCACCACCAGTGCTCGCTGACCACGTTCTGCACCATCTCCCGATATCCTGGGAAACAAAAGATGTTCTCTGATTATGTCCATATTGGTTTGATTGTGGTTCGTGGAGGGAATGAATCGAGTAGGTAGGGCCGTGGGGGTGTGAGCTGTAAGCAAAGAGCGTTTTTCTGAGTATAGGTGGCTGTGGCGCCCGCTTGCTGTATGTCCGCCGAGGTGAAGTAGGATGCCCTCTCCAGGTTTCGCAACCTAGATATCAGGATGAGGTAAACCGCATGGGTTCAATTGGAGATCAATGGGGTTAAAAGAGAGTGGGTGGGTTGGTCGAAGCGTCTGCAGTAGAGTTTAGTTGGAAGGAACCGGTGCGGTAACGACATGGCTTTTATTTGTACAGTTCCTTCTACTACTCGGCCTATGGAGACGATCCCCGCACTGGCTCAAAGTTTGATAGTACTCAATAGCGTAAGAGAAGCTGAAAGAGGGCTGATGGGCAGCATTGTTCCTTGTCGAGTGAACGACCTGAGCTCGGTCTTGTCCGGGATGTGGTTAGGAGCTGAGGGGGGTGCCATTCAGATTGTAGTAATGATCTATGCGACTAAGCCGTCGGGCTCCACCGGTGTCGTGGGCAAGGTGGAGGAAGGCACGAGGCTCGCAGAGAAGATTAGTCAATGGCGATGCGTATTTAGCAGCAGACCCAGAATCGATGGCTCTCTGGCACCTTCCGCTCTGTCAACTGGTGCCTCGTTCCGGGCTTCGATCCATGGAACGTCGCCATATTTTTACTCGACTCAGTCTTGTATAACTGCCCTGTGCGGTTTAGTGCTGCTCGGCAAGTGTTGTGCGGTCAAGAGAGAGTGTACATGAGAGGCCAGTCTCCGCTCCACAGCGAGAAAGAATCTGATTATTTGCTCGTTTCAAGTTGAATGTCGATATGCTGAGTATACGACCATCAATCTAAACAAATCCGAGATCAATTTCTCGCGCAATCTCAACTAGAAGATCGGTTGGGGATCGATAATCTTCGTCGCGTCTTAAGCAAGTCTTCCACACTATCCTTGCTCTGAAAGTTAATGCATGATTCATGTGCTTGGTTTCAGATCGCGGCACGAATCATAATATCCGATCGTGCCGGTGTGGATTTAGCATGCCTGGCAAGAGAGTTTTCTCCTACTGCAAGCTAAAGTGGTATGATCGTGCGCCTGCACTTGCTCGTGGTCAGAACTAGTCTTCCAAATTATGACCAGTAAGAAATCCTAGAAGTGGAGTGTTTGGCGAGTGGCGATATTTATTTTCTTTTCAATACGAGGACTCTGCTTGAATCTCAACCATAAGAAGGGTCCAGTCCAGCCAACAGGGCTGATAATTTCCGCTTATCAACAACAATGCTATCCGGTTTATCCAAGGCCGACCGAGAAGTTGGCGAACCATTGCCGATTGTGATGGCGGTTTCTGTGCGGTGCTTTGACGAGCACTTGTCCTCTGAACACATTTGGGTCATGATAGGCACCAATTGTCACCACAGTGGAGCACGTCGCCTCTAGTGTCCGAAGTGGCCGCGATCTTCGACAGCAATAGCCTTTTTAGGACAATACTGCTCTAGACGTTGATAAATTTCATGGTTAATTTTCCATGGCTTGCGACCATCCGGGGAATTTCTGCCAGGGCAGGAGACCATTCTCTGTCCAGTGGTTGATCAGCAGATGGTGAGAACCTTCGTCTGCAAACCTCGATAGACTGTGTGTCCGCGCGCGATTTACTCTGCAGGCCCTCGCTCGATTCCAGTTCCTGGCCTACCTAGCCCGCAGCTAAATCCAGTGTCTACGTTTGTCTCAGAAGAGGGGGGGGGGAATTGTGTGTCAAGGGGGGCGTTAGAACTGTGGACCAGAAGCAAGTCATAAAATGTCGATCATATGGGACTTAGTGTTTCCTGATTCATCTAAGGTCTTTAGGTCTGATCAATTCTGCTGTGCCTTCAGGCTGAGGTCGTGGACTTGTTTTGACCGTTGGAAAACTGTAGATTAGTGCGCCTGCGGTAAGAAGGGACGCCATCATTGTAAGTAGCGGTCTTTGTTATCGCGTAAGGTCTTGGTAGATTTTGGGTAGTATGTCGAACATGATATCAGGAGGAGAAAATACGACAGCGCTTGAAAAAGTTCGATTCTGCAGAATCAAGGGTCCGCCACCACACGTGGGCGAGAAATCTCGTGCGGCCCCAGCACATCTACCACGTTCGTGAAAGAAATGCTTCTCCTGGTCGGGTTTCCAGAAGATGACATACATCATTTCTGGGGAAACGACCTAGGATCCGCTGTCGGCATTCATTATTATGTCCTGTTTCGACTTTCGAGTGCTTTGGGGGGTTTCCCGGAACATTGGGACGCAAGGATTCGGTGGTGATCATCAATAAACAATGGGGCCTCGGATGCAGGTCCCAGGAGAAAAAGAGGGGGATGAGGCGTCGATAGCGCGGCGCTATCACTGCTAGAGACGGCAAAGGATTGCACTACCACGCAGCTGGTATGAACGCCCATTGTCAAGACTTGGCAAATGATGTACATGGCTTGGAATAAGGCTTTTCAGTACCCCATCACTGTCCAATGAGAACAAACGCTTCCTGGGAGATGGCGAGGCTCTAGCCTAGTCTAGTCAATAGAGATGGTTGAATGGTGTTGCATAAATTATTGAACGCCATGGGATAAATAAACGTACGCTCCCACTAGACTCACTGACCCGTGCATCTGTAGGTTTAGGGAGCGTTTGTTGTTTGCTGAATGGCTGGCAGAGTGTCCCTAGCTTCGATTGACGAGATATCTCGAGCCCTTGAACTGATTTGACTCCCACTCCCAGGTTCTAAGTACGGTGGTCGGTAGTGGTGTTGACAGCCTTGCACTGCGTTGAGCTTGAAGGGAAACTCGACTCGAGGATCGTCGCGTGGGGGGCGGTTTTGGCATGGCCCGGTCAGTGTCAATTATGTCACCGCAGTCACTTAAGCCGCTGGGCTCACCGAACCGTTCTCTTCCCATGAGCCAGCTGTCATTGGCAGAAGATAATCAGGCTCTGGGGCCACTGTCAAAAGTGGGCGATGATCGCTGGCCGGAGAAAGGGAAGAAACAGTGACAGAAGGGGGAAGGAGGGAAGGAGACGAAGCGGTCAGTCAGTGTCAGTCAGCCGACGGGCAGACAGCAAGCGATGTTTATCCCTGACGATCCACGGGCTGTGGAACAACAACAATCAGAACAATAACAACAGTCTACTCTTGAATTGACTGTTTGCCAGATCACAACAGTACAGGGTAATGATCTACACATTCTATGTTCGGCGAATTGGATTTTCTTACAATGGAAAAGAAGCACACAGCACTCTATCATTTACCCTTTTTTTTTTATCATTATGAGAGTATGAAACTAAAACTTCTACGTTCGGCATCAGCTTTTTTTCCTGCAATCAGTTCAGAGCCTTACCCCCCCCCTCAGGACTGGACTGCTCCTCCTCCTCCTCTGACAACTCTGGTAGCAAGGTCAAGGTGTAAAGGTCCGGGCTGTGCGGATCTTGTCGCAGGCCAGTTTTAGCACCGCTTTGGGGCACATCGCTCATAATCCTCATTCGAGTCGAGAAGCTCTCGAGCGAGTTGTCCGTCAAGGCGCTGATTTGGGGAGGTGTCTCATCAGGCTCACAAGTAATTGACTCCCTAAGAGGCGAGGGCTTGCAAGACTTCTCTTTCTCCCTCCTGAAGTGCCGGTTTCGATCCGTCTGTTCGAGCTCGGCAAGCCGCGATTGTTGCCTCTCAAACCAATCCCGGGTCGACGGGAATTTATTTTTCTGTACGAAGCCAGTAGCTATACCAAAGTCCTCAAGCAGATAGTCATAAGGATTGCCAGGGTCTTGCAGACACTCATCGTTGGTTACCCTGGGATCATTGCGCCACCAACCGTGTGGGCTGTAGTACCTGAACGTGAGCTTGGATGCCCATTCAACGAAGTCAGTGATCGTTCCTGGGAGTCTTTGTCCTCTAGTTTCGAGATCAACAACTACCGGGTCTATGTAGACCATAGCATTCTTCAACAGGGCTTTGAGGCGAAGCTCGTCCCCAGCTCTGGGGACCTTCGGGTCGGTTAGCTGGAAGAAGAGTGAGATCGCCGGTGGTGTCCGACTCTCTTGTGGGACGGGATCCCCAAACCAGTTGAAGTGGTGGACTGACTCGGACTCGTCTACGTGGTGCATGTAGGCCTCACGAGCATCGAATTCATGGTCGATTTCGACCCTGATGAGCCTTACCTCGGCGCTCTCCATGTCCTCGCTAAAGGCCGGTGAAGGGGCCAGCCCCCCATAGTCATTACGTGCTGCTTCTCCAAGCTCCATGCCATGACCATCAGTATTTAGACTCTGGCTTTGGTGAAAGTTATTCAGGTTGTAGCCGAGACTCTGGTAAGCCCTTTGGATAGCGTGACTCCTCTTAGATGACTCATCATTCGCCTCGGTTGCAGTCCAATCCATGCTGGTGCCAGCAGATACCTCTTCCTTCTCACTCTCTAAGGGCTTGTCGAAATCCATCTCATCGAAATCGTGCATTAGCACTTCGTCCGACACTGTTAGTGTCTCTGTCGAGCTGGTAGAGCTTATCTCGTCTCTCGAAGTCATATCGTCATCCGAAGCTTCATCCATCCAGTTGAACGGCGATCCAGGCTCGAGGAGCTTCCTGTAGGTCTCCTCTAGTTCAGTAAAGCTCGTTATATGGTTATTAGACATCATAGCACTTACATTTCTGGCTCTGAAGTTAATATCCCGAGGATCCATGTTGGCGATCAGACGCTAAATCGTTTAATTCCTCGCAGTACTCGAAGTGTTCACCCATTGAATATTTATAACCAGGCTCTAGCTTCTGTCTTGAGTCAGACAAAGACAAGGGTGGTCAGTGAAACCAAACTGCGGAATGGTAATTATCATTAAGAAGAGGTCATTACTATGTCATGGCTGACACCGCCATTTCCGTTTCTCCTTGATGATGCATAGAAGCGGTAACTTGGACAGCCACATCGACCGTTGTATACAACAAATGGTTCTGGGTACTCTTTCGAATTACGATCTGTTCGCGTTCGCAGTTATCGTATCGAAGGCTTTTAGGATCGAGAAACTTCGAAGTCATGGCTGGGATAGCAATATATTCCGGTTGTTGGTGTGTTTGCACCCACATGTCAGTGCTAACGCTGGTAGATAGTAGGTCGCTAGATCTGATCCCGAGCTCTGACCATGCTATGGGCTCATCTTGAGTACTGCTTGGTTATGATTTTATGATATCATGCAAGGCACGAGGAGGAACTCCGGAGTTAGACAAGTCCGGCATTCAAGTTGTGTGTCTTTGTACTGTCTCCATGTGGTAGGCTGGGATCAGAGAATGACAAAGAAACATTCATGGGTGCTTGTAGACCACAATGGCTTTGTTTTGCTGCGCGATTGCCAACATTGTCCTGCAGCCAGCAAGCAGATTTTCGAGTCGGCGGAGTTGTATGCGGTGCAGCAGGGTATCGGGGAAGGAACTCCGATGTGTCGGGGCGACCTTCAGCCGGCTCAAAAAAGGGCCCCGCCGAAATCACGAAAGACGGATTCCCCCGCACGCAACGCCGACGTTCGGCCGCCTTCGATTCCATTTAAAGCCAACTGAGCCCCCCCTTATCTCTCGTTATCCTTCTGACTCATCTCTTTAACGTCTGCCTTATGCGCCTGCTTCGAGCTCTTCTCACCTCGACCAGATCCCTGCGACAGCTTCCCTTGACGACCTCCCCCGGGAACATCTCCGCATTCACCCCGCTCACCCGATCAACCCCGTTCCAATCCGCGATCCAGCCCACTTTCATCAGACGCACAATGGCCTCCGCAATGGCAAAGCGCCTCGAGGGCAAGACCATCGTGGTCACCGGTGCCTCGTCCGGTATTGGCCGCAGCACGGCCAAGGAGTTTGCTCGCACCGCGCCCAAGGACCTGAAGCTGATCGTGACGGCCCGTCGCATCGACTCTTTGAAGCAGCTCGCCCAGGAGATCAAGGAGGAAGTCGGTGAGGGTGTCAAGGTCCTCCCCGTGCAGTTGGATGTTAGCAACTCCGAGGAGATTAAGAACTTCGTGCCGTCTCTGCCCGCCGAGTTCCAGGAGATCGATGTGCTTGTGAACAATGCGTGAGTCGACGTTACGCCCCTCTCCCTGGACAAGATTCGGCCTTGTGCATTTATGGCCCAGGCAAAAAAGTGAAACAAAAGCCTGGCTGACACTCAAGAATCAGCGGCCTTGTTAAGGGTGTCGCCAAGGCCCCCGAGATCGACACTCAGGATATCGACGTCATGTTCTCAACCAACGTGACCGGATTGATCAACATGACCCAGGCCATTCTCCCCATCTTCCAGAAGAGATCCGACGGCGGTCGCGGCGATATCATCAACATCGGCAGCATTGCTGGCCGCGAACCTTACCCCGGCGGAAGCATCTACTGTGCCACGAAGGCGGCCGTCCGGTCCTTCACCGACGCATTGAGAAAGGAGCTGATTGCGACGAGAATCCGCATCATCGAAATCGACCCCGGTCAGGTGGAAACCGTGAGTCGTCGCCTGAGAGCTCCATAGTGGCCTTCGTTCTGAATCTTACTAATATTTGTTTGTGCTGTACAGGAGTTCTCCGTGGTGCGATTCTACGGTGACAAGGAGAAGGCTGATGCAGTCTACGCGTATGACATCCCCAGCTGGAGATTGTTTACACAAATGAGACCAAGGATATACTGATGTGCTCTGTTGCAGTGGCTGCGAACCCCTCACCCCCGATGACATCGCTGAAGTTGTTGTGTTTGCCGCTGGTCGGCGCGAGAACGTTGTGATCGCGGATACGCTGATCTTCCCCAGCCACCAGGTAAGCTCATGGAACTTGGGGACCTAGATGACAAGCGCTGACGCATACTTCACCAGGCTTCTCCGGGAATTATGCACCGCAAGGCTTAGTGATATGTATGATCGATAGAATTGAAGTATATAAAGGCAGGGTACCTGCTACGGTCTGGAAACGATAGATAACTGTGCAACTTAATCACCATGAACCGTCCCCTCCAGCTTGGCTAAGAAGTAGTCTGTCTGCTTTGTGTCGACCTTGTTTAGGTGTATGAATTTGCCTGTTGACCAGTCATTCTCCGCATCCAAACCCCCCTCCCCCTCTCAAAGCAGGGCCGAGGTCCAGTGGAAGTCCGTAATTGGGGCCTGTAACGTAGGACCAATAATTGGCAAAGGCACGTGGTTTCTATTTCTAGATTGATAATCACAAAGGCTGCCGACTTCAGAAGAATGAAAACATCACTCGACCCGCCCTCTAGATGGAAATCAAGCAGCGCTTAAACTTTCAGCCTAATCATCTCAATTGCTTCAACTCCCCTCTGCTGCCAACCGACGAGAGGGAGATGACCAAATCCCAAAATCTTACTTGATGCATATACTTACCATACTCTATACTCCCCTACAATCCTTCACCAACAAGAACAGCAAGTAAAGAAATATCAAACCCGAATAAACCCAAAACCTCAATCTCTATCCCCCGCCTTCTCGG